GAGTTGTTTTTACACCCATTTTATGGAAGGGCAAAATGAGAGAAAGAACACAGAGACTCAACCGCTATCCCAAAATGGATTTAAGCATGTGTTTGCTTAGTTCATTAATGCAGGTTCAAACTCCCTGTCAGGACACCATCTGCTAGAAGTATGAAATGTCCTCATCTGGATGCAGACAGCTCCTGACTGTTTGGCTACTCAGCAGCCAACCAGCTGTCAATAGGTGGATGTTCCATTCACCATTACAGGCATTGCACGACATTATTTTAAAAAGTATTTTATCTGAATAGTTCACTCACTGCTTATAGTAGGTTGAAAACTGAAAACAGAGGCCTAAAAGTTAGAAAAAGAGACCCATAATTCACAGCAAAGACTGCCTTAATTTTGCTCCCCTTACAGTCACTTCTCAGGAAAAAATAAATGAAAAACAATTTTCAATCTGTTTGTTGTTTCAGTTCAATTTAGGGTGACACAAGCAGATTTCAGTTCTTTACATTCTGCACAAACCTCCAGAAATATTCAGTGTTTATTAGAGTTTGGTGGTGTTAAATCAAGAATGGCTATCACCCTTTAAGGCTGAAATGATAAAGTGATATCCATACCAATAACACGTTTTGACAATGTTGACACCTGCTTACAGAGAAGCAGTTTAAAGACCTATGGAAAAGGGCATTAAAACTTGCTACAAATCCTAGAAATAACCCTTTGTTTTTGGAAGGTGGTGTTTTCATTCATAGTATCAAGCCTTTGGATGAACTCTGTGGCATATTCTACAGCGTATCTCATAAAAGACAAAGAGCTAGATGAAGAACTTCATTAAACCACTCTTTTTCATCATTTTAACTGTGCAAGTGGAAATGGATAGGAATTCATTCTAGCTCACTCTGAAACAAGAACAGTCCTGAAATGAATGCAGCACCTGGTGAGAGCCAAAAAAAGCTTATTAACTCTTTTTGATCCCCTAAAAACTTTTACACAATTCAAACATAGCCAAAACTTTGTAGAAGCTGGGGAAGAAGAAGGGGAGGGAGAGAGGATTTTCTACTAATTGATTTTAAGAGCAGACTCATTGAGTGTTGTAGCACCTGCTGTTGTCAACATTTCCATTGCTGTGTTGGTTTAAAAGAAAAAGAAAAAAATGAAAGAAAGAAAGAGCAAAAACATTGCATCTGAGGAATAGAAACACATATTTTGCCCCTGGTTAAAAAAAACAAACCCTGTTTTCATATACTTGATTAGCCCTCACTTTTTTACTCAATACTCAGCTTAACAAGTGAGCAGTAACCCCCAACCAGCCACCAATAAAAGCCAAATACCATAGATTAGAGGAAATGAGAGACTTGACCAAATCTCAGTGTTTTGCCTCACACAGGAGATTTTCAGGTTTTCACGGTCCCTTCCAAACAGGTCTTTAAGGATGCGTTTCCACGGGAAGCAACAAGCTGCAGAGCTCACCCGAGGAGGGGAGTCCAGAGCTGCGGCGACGGACGGGAACCGAACCCGAGCACCACAGCCCGAGGCTCTGCTGGAGCTGTCCCTCCAGAACAGGGACACTGCCGGGGCTGTCCCTTCAGTACCACGGACAGGGACACTGCCGGGGTTGTCCCTCCAGAACCACGGACAGGGACACTGCCGGAGCTGTCCCTTCAGTACCACAGACTGGGGACACTGCCAGAGCTGTCCCTCCAAAACCACAGACTGGGGACACTGCCGGGGCTGTCCCTGCAGAACCACGGACAGGGACACTGCCGGGGCTGTCCCTCCAAAACCACGGCCTGGGGACACATCCGGAGCTGTTCCTCCAGTACCATGGACTGGGGACACTGCCGGAGCTGTCCCTGCAGAACCACGGAGAGGGACACTGCCTGAGCTGTCCCTCCAGTACCACAGACTGGGGACACTGCCGGAGCTGTCCCTGCAGAACCATGGAGTGGGGACACTGCCGGAGCTGTCCTCCAATACCACAGACTGGAGACACTGCCAGACTTAGACTTTGAGTACCACGGACAATGCCAGGGGTGTTCTTTCAGCACCACAGACTGGGAACACTGCCAGAGGTGTCCCTTCAACACGGCAGACTGGGGGCATTGCTGGAGTAGTCCCTTCAGCACCAGAGCTGCCAGAGCTGTCCCTTCAGCCCCATGTCTCAGGGGCAATGGGGCACCCGTTCCCTGGTCTGGGGACACTGTTGGACCTGTCCTCTGGCACTGGTAGAGAAGCACTGGCCTCTTCCTGGCTACTGATGGGCCATGGCCAACCATAAACGCCTTTGATTAAATTAAAGCCACAGTAGTTGAAATCAGCACAGCGAAGAGGTAATCGCTCCAGACATGTTGCTAGCATGGCAATATCACAGAGTACAATTAAGTTAGATATAAATTAGTCTGCAACCATATGAATATTGCTCGACTTTGTGGTCCACCGATTCCTATCACTGTTTTGTCTGAAGAGATGTTTTGTGGAGATAGAGATACCCTTCCAGATTAGGCAAGGTCTTTGTTCATTCTCTTTTAAAGGTCAGCCTGCAATGATATTTAAGACACACTTTTGCAGGAGTATGCACTGAGTACAGCAAGTTCACCAATGCACACCCACTGTATGTGCTTCTGGAAGTCTGTCCAGGTTTTAGAGGGAGAAAGATGTATATGAGAACATACACATAGATTTGAAAATAAATAACCAGCACAAAATATTAATATGAACATTTTAGATCACTTTCCTGTACAAGAAACATAGATAAGAACTCTTATTTTTCTAAGAAGTTAAATGAAGTAGTTTTTTGGGGGTTTTTCCACCCGTGAGACAAATTAGTTTAGGAGAAATAAGAAATTAAAGAGAAATCTTCCATGCTTACTTTTACAGACTAGCTGTAGATCAGATAACATCATGAAGCCACTTTAGTACTGAAGAGATGGTACAAAAAATAGAATTGCATTTGGCAAGATGCAGAGAGCAACTATTAATAAACTTTTGAAAGACGGATCAGATATCCTCCCAGAGCACAGCTTCCCAAGTGAACAATTGTTACAGAATGTCTGTAACTTTCTGCACCATTCTTTATCATCAGTCTTCCTCCCAGTGGTTCCCTGTTGCTATACACATTTTTAAATTTAAACAATTCATACATCCCAAAGCACCTCTGCCTACAGAAATGCATTCTATTCTCTGCATGATGAGGTACTCCGAGCTTCCTAAACAAAATCCAGCCCTCTGAAGGAGGAAATGTTACAACTTCTCATGCAGGTTGTACTTGTTTATGGGTAAAATACCATCAAAACAGCAAACTACTGTACAAACAGCCCTTTCTACCTGTCACCCACAGAGCTTAAGAACGCAGCAAGTATTGCAGGCAGCTCCTAGGCAGGAGTACAGGGCACCATGAGTACACAGGCGTGTGTGTGGAAGGCTTGTTGTTACACAGAGGAGCACGACAGAGCAGTATTCACTTAGCACACACAAGTGGCAAGAGACAGGCTGAGGAAGAGAGACTCAGTGGTCAAAGGAGGAAAGAGAGTTCTGACATTGTAACCAACAGCGGGAAATACAAATCATCAGCCGAAGTTGCATTCTACTTTATATTCTATAACCTGATAATATATGCATTTGTATTAATATAGCTAATAACAGAAAGGTAGAGGAAATTAACCCTTAAATATCTTATCTTTGTAAGGGCAAATAGGTTTTATACTGTCAGATGGTCTTTCAAAGGAAATTTTTTACTGCCCCAGGTAGAATATAGTCAAATACAAACATAAGCAGACACTTTTCAAAGGGCAGTGGACAGCACATTCTGCTGAAAACTCACTATCTTCCAGTGTCAGTGTGAAAATTTATTGCAACAATCCCTACATGGCAAAAAGACCAAGTCCTTCTGTATTAATAAGAGAGCTAATTTCATGTCCTGTTATGTATAATGCACTATCAAACAGCCACTGAGTTAGAGGAGTCTTTTCAGACCTCCACAGATATTAGAAGTTCTGTGAGAAAAACATTATCAACTACCTTAGTAAACCCACCTTATGGAACACAAAACCAGCATGAATAAAACCTGCTCATCCAGCCAAAGCCAGAGTTGTAGTACAGTTCTGTGTGCACTCCGCAGCCTCTAATCATCGTGGTATTTATTTTCATGGCAGAGAAGCAAACTTTGTGGCAAATTCTCAGCTTTAGCCGCGGGAAGCTGGGAAGTACAAAATGACAGCCTGTGACTGTGTCCACTGACTGCCCCTTGACTGTCCTGGGAAGCAGCACATCTGGGAAGCTGGGCAGCATGGATGTGACAGTGGGCATCATTCTGCCTGTCAGACTATGTGCCCACAAAGGCAAAATGCAGACTGTGACCTGTTGTCACATCAGACACTCCAGTTGCAATAAAAACTCCAGGAACAAATTGTCAGTGCCCAGGGTTTGAGCACAGCTGTGGGAAACACCAACCCTGCCCTTGCCGACTCCAAAACAAAGTTTGCAAAAGCAGGTCTATCCGTGCCTGGCTACATTAAGGGCTTTCCCAGCTGATCCAGTTCCCATGCCCTCATCATTTTCATTCTCCTCCAGCTGCTTTTTGCCTAAGTTTTCCCCACGTCTCTTAAGGTGGAAGAAGGAGTGTGACAACAGGGCCTTCTTCCTGAGGGGAACCCCAGGAGTGTCACTCTGCCTCTTCCCTTTTCCTCCCTCTCCCTCTCCATCCAAGCCACAGCACCATAGTAGCCACCTGGACAGTGCCAATACCCCTAGCCAGACCAGCCTCACTCTTCTCCAGACACACAAGAGACAGAGGATCCATCTCCAGGAGAAGAGGTGCAGGACACCCTCAAGTCCAACAAGTGCCCAAGAAGAGCATTAAATTACATAACACGGGAGGGAAGCAAAAATACTCATCCAGCACAGACACCCTTGCGTGCCACAGCCTCCCCGCCCCTCTCCCTTTTTTCCAGCCCGGGAAGTTTTTGCCCCAACCCCGGCCTTGGTCCCACAGGGTCTCCCCGAGAGGAGTCACTCACCGATGGTCGTGATGACCGTGATGGCAAAGTAGAAGGAGCCGGCGAATTTCCACTGGACTCCGGCGCGGTGCGGCTCGGACTGCATGATCACCAACTCCAGCTGCCGGTAGTCCTCGCTGGTGATGTTGTACTTTCCTTTGAGCCGGATCTCCTCGGCTTTGAGTTTCTCCTCCTCCCGCATCTCGTTGTCGGACTCCAGGGCATCAAAGACGGCAGCCCCGACCAGCAGGTAGGTGAACGTGCAGATGATGAGGGACAGGGTCCGCACGTTCTGCCTCTTCATGGCCGCCAGCAAGGGGCGAGTGAGGGGACCATGTCCCCCCCTGGCCGCCCGGGGTTCCGACAGGCCGCAGCAGCTACAGCAGGGGAGCAGCTGCCGGGGGGGCCGGCGGCGCCCGCCGCCGCTGCCGCCGCTCCGGGGCAGCTTGTGCTGCGGCGGCGGTCGCTCCCCGCCCGCCTGCTCGGGCTCCTGGGAAGAAGAGAGGCACAGGAGGCTGCTGGAGCGCCGGGACCAGGTGCCCTGAAGCCGGGAAACTCTGCGCAGGACCTGCCCAAACCAAGCCGTCCCAGTGCGCAGGGCCATCCAGGGCACCCCCCGCTCCTCCCCAGCACCGAGGCCAGGGGCAGGGGGTCCCCGCCGAGGGGCCGACGGCCCCGGCACGGAGTCCTGCGGCGGGCGGGTCCCCCCGCGAAGTTGGCGCGGCGGCGCGGGGAAGGGTCGCCCGCAGCCCGGGCGGGGCGCGGCGGGGAGGCGGAGGCCGCCGCCGTCCCAAGTTTCTTCAGGCGGAGCGGCGGGGCCGGGGGGAGCCGGGCGGCGGCAGCGCGCCCATCCGCGGAGGAGGAGCGGGGCGAGGGGAGGAGGGCTCCCGGGCTCCGGCCGTCGGGGACCCGACCCGCCCCGGCCCCGGCTGCCTGCGGGAGCGCCGGCCGGGAGGGTCGGGACGGGCTGGCTGCTCTATTCCTTCCGCCGCGGTGCGCGGAGGGCGGCGGGGAGCCGGGCAGCTGCTGCCTCTGCTGCTGCTGCTGCCTCTGCCTCTGCTGCTGCTGCTGCAGGTGGCCGCGGCGTGAACCGAGCACCTGCCCGGGGCAGCGGCGGGGCGGGACGGCGGCGGGCGCTGGCTCCGGCCGCGGGCTGCCGGGAGGAGCGGAGAATCACTGGCAGCTTCCCCGGGGAGCGCGTGAGGGCAGCTCGGCCCCAGGCGGACACAAAGACGGAGGCGAGAAGAAAAATAAGACCAAAAAAAAAAAAAAAAAAAAGAAAGAAAAAAATGAAAAACGAAAAAGAGGCAAAAAGGAGGGAAAAATGAAAGGGTACTTTCACGGCTGCTACCCCGGCGGTCGGAGCCGGGGCTGCTTTATTTAGGATGGTTTTAGAACAAAGCCGTTAAGAAAAAGAGCAACCGTCCTCCTCCTCCTTCTCCCGGGCTCTTGACATCATCTCGGGGAGAAGCGAGCCCGCGCCCCGCAGCCATCGCCTGCGCGTGTGTGTGCGGGCGTGTGTGCAGGCGTGTGTGTGTGTGTGTGTGCCCGTGCCCGTGCCCGCTCCGGCGCGGGAGGCGGGATGCGGGATGCGGGAGGCGGGATGCGGAGCCCGCCCCGGCCCGCCGCGGGGAGCGCCTTAACCCCCTCGGCGCCGCCCCGGTAGGGAGCGGCCGCGGAGCTCCCCCGGCGCGACTGCGGCTCCCGCCCTCCTTCCCCGGGCTCGGCCACGCCCCGGCCGCTTAGCGGGGCCGGGCGGCGGCGGGGCGGGCTGTGCCGTCCCGGCAGGGACAGCCCGGAGCCGTTCCCGCCCTCGAGCGGAGCCGCGCGTAGCGGCCGGGACAGGTTTGTGCCGCCTCCGCCGCCCCGGGGACAGCGACTCCGCGGCCCCACCGCGCCGCGGCTCCGCGCACCGCCGCCCCGCCACAGACCGCCGGAACCGACACACACAGGCAGAGCCCTGCACGCCCCGAGCTGCGCACGCCATCCCCTGCACACCCCGCGATGCGCTCCACCGAACACGCACACGCAGCCCTACACACCCTGTGTCACACACCATGGCCCCCATGCACACACCTGCACAGCCCTACACACCCCAAGCATCACACCCCACAGTCACACGCACAACAGTCGGTCACCACACCTGCACGTTGTGTGCTGATACTCCATGCACACAGAAATCTACACATCGCAGTTCCACTCGGGCACCCCACACACACACACTGACCTCGACACACCACAGCCCCACACATCAAAATTCCCTCAGGTCCCCAGCGAAATGCACCACAGCATCACACACTCCAAAACCTGCCCATGCCACCACCCTCCACACAGCAAAGCCCCTTCCCCAGCCTCAGTATAACCCCCCAAGCATAGGCAGGCACTCAGACCCATGTCACAGGGGGGGACTGGCTGATATTTAACCTTCCTTCCAACTGTAACCATTCTGTGATTCTGTACTCATTACATACAACCTAGACACATGCAGCAAAATGTGCCCAGTGGTTGAGAGGAGCCAGCCTGGCTCCACAGGGTCCATCCCCAGCCCCATGGCTCCTGAGCCACCACCCTGTGGTGTGGAGGCTGCAGTCCCTCAGGTTCTCTGGCCACATCCTGCCTCTCATTCACCATCAGGTTTCCAGTGGCAGGTGTTCCCACAGGAGCCTGAGGCTGCTTTTTTGTACTCCCTGAGACAGGGCTGACCTTCCTGGTGTTGCCTCACTCATAATTGTAGGCATACTCCTGCGTTAGGGCTGGGCTTTTCAGCCTTACCCAGTGAAGGCTGAGCTGGTCCTGATTTCTCTGAGCCTCAGGTTACATTCCCTTGGTTTAGGTCTTTCTCAAATCCTAGGAGCACAGGGCTCATTACTGTAATTCTCCACCCATAAGAGCAAGTCTGTCTGTCTCACCCCTGGTCTAAAACCTTTGGATACCCTTCCTGAGGCATGAAAGGGCAAAGGGAACCCAGTGCCTTGTAGGTGGATCAGATCAGAAGTCAATCTCCAAGACTGAAGCCCTCTGAAAGGTGCACACCAAGCTGAGTGGATGAAGCTGGTCACAAGGACCTTTGGGAAACTCTTGGATGCAGGGAGGAGGAAGAATTCATTTCATCAATTCAGCAAACAAGAGTTCACCCAGGGCAAATTCTGAATCACATCACCTGAGAGTTACCAAAATTGTTACAGCACAACATGGAGCAAGGTCTCACCTGCCAAAAGAAGTGTGTACAGATCAGCAACAGAGGAAAGAGGGGAAAGGTGGAGAAAAGAGGAAATATCTGGTTTCGATCAACTCCTTAAATATAGAAGTCTGATTACCTTTCCCCATTTCTGATTCCTCAAGGGAGTGCAGGAGAAGAGGAATCTATAAATAGTTTGCAACACACAGAATCCTGTAGCAAAGTTGCTGGGAAAGATCAATAGCATGATTCAAGGAGGGCTCCAAATTACATCTCAGGGGAGGGAGGTGCTGAACAGAATTGATAAATGAGTTGCAAATGCTGTGTGTGTTGTGTGTATCTAATTAACAGAGGGTGACTGGGATCAATAGCAAGGAAGGAGATGGTCTAAAAATAGGACTCAGGCAGGGACTGCAACCTGCGGGCAACAGCTTGGATGGAAATGTCCCCTGGAGTAATTGACCTTTAGCTGAAAGTGATGGTTAACATGAAGCCAAAGTGGGGCCTGTGGGCATCTGGGAAGGGCTGAGGGCTCAGTGAGACTTAGGGCACAGAGCAGTGTGACATTGTGGGGGTACAGGCACGGCCATGAGCTCAGAGCCTTCTTTTGGTCAAGTGACAGTGACAAGATGCTGATTGATGTGGTGCTTTCTGGAGAAATATCTGAATATTGACATTTTACTGGGGTCTTGGAACAGAAATTACATGCTGTTCTGTGTACTCACAAACGTTTCAACATTGCTTAGAGAAAAGTAACAGTCATTTTTTTTAACATCTATTTACTTCCATAAGAATCTGCAGTTTTTTTCTTTTTTTCCTGACCCTGTTACCAAGGAGGTACCCACCACTGTGAGGACCTGTCTTTGCTCATCCAGACTCAACACCATATACATATTTGAGAAAAAATAGCTTGCAAAGGGGAGTGTCCTTCAATCCTTCCATCTAAAAGAGAGCTGTCAGGCAAACTCCAAGGGAGAAGGATTGATGTTGGGCAGGATGGTCTGTGGCTCAGCTTTACAGGCTCTGCTGAAGTGGCAGGCTTCAGCTGAGTGAGGCAGAGACACACCCAGGAACAGAAAGTTCACTTGCAGACTGACTGCAGGATTTGGAGCTGGGGTGTATAGCATGACCAAAAGAAAAGGAAGCTGTAAAGAAGAACCTAGAAAATTTCTCTGGCAGGAGGAGATTTGGAGGGGTAGGTGGTGAGTGAAGAGCTTTTCTTTAATATAGACAGAAGTGACTAAAAATTCCTGGACAATACTTTTCTCCATAAGATTGAGGAAAAAAAAAAAGTCTTTTATACTGCTGTAGGTGGAGCTACCAAAGGAGCAAACCATGTTTAGTCACCAAAAGGAAAGTTAACTCAAAGAGACAACACGTATCTTAGCTCCTCTTGGGTTAAGTCTAATTTGTGGGAGAGAACACAGGCTGGAAGACAGCTCTGAGATGTGCAGTGGGTGCCCTGGCTGCTGACAGCTCTGCTAACCCAAAGTTGCACCTACTGTCTCCACAAAAAGACAAGTGGGATTTTAAATTCCCCACGTTTTAGGTAAGAGGATGTGGGTTCTGTTGGGTCAGCTCTCCTGTTTTACCTTGAGATTACTCTGCAACAAAGGCAAGAGCCAGCCTCAAGGCACTTGGACTGGGAGTTGTTCTCCTGCCCATCCTTTGGACCTGGCAGAGGTTCTCCTTGAGAGAAATCTGATGTCTCTGTCTGTGCAAGAATGGGCTGAGAGCTGCCAATCCATGAGCCATCTTCCAGATGAATCACAGGAGTCACAACAAACCAGAAAAGGGAAAAAAGCCCCTAAACCAAGAAAAATAACTGAAAAATATGATCAGTACTAGAAAGAAGACCTAACCTGTTTATTTTCCAGCACAGGTTATTAAGAAACCATTTTCTTTCTCTGAAAATGGTGGCATGAAGATGACCAGAACAACAGTTCTGATTCAAGGCAAGGTTCATTGAGCCGAGAAGCCACTCATCCACAGAGATGTACAGGCAAAAGGGAGAAATGCCAATGGAACAAGTATGTGTAGTTCTTTTTCATCTCCTTAAATGCTCTCCCAACCTCACACTACCTTAAATCAGTGGATTTTCTGAGTTCTCATTTAGTTGTTATATCCAGTGACTCATGACAGATCTTTCTCCCAAGCACTTGTTCTCCCTCTTCCTGAGCCCAGCTGAAACTTTTTGCCTCCTCAGCAAACATTCAAGGTGAGGGCAGGTTGGATGGAGCTCTGAGCAACCTGGTCTCACTGAAGATGTCCTTGCCCATGTCAAGAGGGCTGGAGTGAGATGATCTTCAAGGTCGCCTTCCAACCCAAACCATTCTATGGTTCCATGAAAAATTCTCATCCTTCCTGAAGATGAATGGATCAATGGATCAGTTAGTCAGAGCAGGAAAAGTGCTCCCTTTTATCTG